AGCCACAAAAATATTTTTAATTGAAATTCAAAATTTCAGATCAAAACCCCAAGGTATTTTTTATTATGGTTATTATTTGCTTAGGGATGTTTAAATGTTTAGAGATAGGCAAAGGAACACTAAGTATAATAAAAATAACTATCATAAACATGGTGACAACATAATAAAACTGGCAGTAGGGTTTGCAATATAATTTAAATTTGTACTTATTGGGCTGATGTCTTTGTAAGCATTTATTACATTCCTCAAGAGCTTACTTCAGATTGAATTAGTCCTTTACGGCATGAGGAGGAGCTGTCCTACTAAGACTGAAGTGAACTACCCTCCCCAGGATGAGAGATTGATCAAGTTTTAAACCAGAAAAAAATATAATGAGAAATATAAAGATTTTTTTGCTAGAGCAGAGATTCAGGGAATACAAAGATAGGAGTAAAATGTCCACAGATGAACTGGAGAAAGGTGTTTGGAATAAGAAGGAAATGTTAATTAGTGAATGGAGCACATGTACCTCAGTGGCTTGGAAAGCATAATGTTAGAAAGTGAAAAATAATACAGTTTGTAAGAAAATGTGCAGAAATGTCTGAACTCTCACAGGATTGTAGTTACCTCTTCACTTAGGGAGACCAAGGCATTGCTGTGACGAGCTCAAACCGTGTGTAGATTCCTTGATAGAGTTTCCTATAGTTAGTACCTGAATAACCATTGAAAATAAGAAAAGAGGTTCAAACAGAGTACACAAGACTCCATGATGGCTGATGTAGGCTTACAAAGGAAGAAATCAAAAGAAGCACTCCATGTGATTCTGTGCCAGAATATTTGACTTCATATTGAAAGCAGGTACAAATGGAGTACAAGTGCAGTCAGAGACTGGAGTAACAGTGAACTTTCCTGTCCCTGAAGTCAGCTAAAAACTCTGGAAGCAATTCTTACTTAAAGATACCTTTTTTTCAAAGTGAGGTAACTCTGTGGAGGGGTTTTGAACAACTATTGTATGTGGGAATTGCTGACTGCGTGTATTGCCTGTGAATTTTCTTGCATTTATTTGAGCAGAGGAGAGCAGTGCTTAGGTCTATATGCAAACTTGTTTACTCAAATAGTGCTTGTGCTTATACAGTTGCTTGTCTCATGGATAAATTCTTCCCAGGCTTTTGCAGTGCCATCATTAGGTTTCTGCTGCTTGGTAGCAGAGAAGAGTTCATCCAAATCCATGTATCACAAATAGTGCCTTCTTTTCAGAGCTGCAGTCTTTTTTCCCAGCTGCATAATTGTCAGTACAGACCAAAGAGCTAGGAAAATTTCTACTGCAGCATTTTGAGATCTGCCACAGTTGTGTTTCGCTAGGCTCTTGTAACTTCTGCTTACAGTATGGAATAAAGTGAGGACAAGATTTATCCAATTTATCTGATTTCAGATTTATTGCTGCAGATTTTTAAAAAAGCATACTTTTCTACATGGAAAAAATGCATGTTTCTTGCTGCTGCTCTTGTTAGGAATGGAGACCTGTGACATGATGGCATCATTCAGTAGAATTGGAAATGCAGAAGAAAAAGGTGCTTTATTGTTGTTGAGTAACTGTCTGGCAAATATCTTTGTTCACTCCATGCACCTCATCCATTATTTGTCTGTTATAACTAAAATATAATTTTAAGGCTTTTAAAGCAAAGTACTTCCATAAAACAACATGAAGAGAACAAATAGTTATAAATGGGGAAGCCGCTGTTTGTCTACAGCAAATACTTCATGAAGACTGATCTGCCCAGTTCACAGTACAGGCTGAACATGCAAGATTGCTGGCAGGATGCAATGAGGAATGGCTGGCAGCAGGGCAGGCACCAATTGCAGGAAATGGCAAGCAGGTTCAGCTGCTGAAGCAGGTTGACAGTTATGCTGGAAAGTCAATCCACAGGTCATGCCAGTATCCACAGTAGGTCAGGTCCAACCAGTATCCACACCTGTAGGTCAGGTCCAACCTGACCTAATGAGGTCAGAGTCCTGTGGTCACTAGGCAGGTGCAGGCAGATGGGACCAGGCAGAAATCAGACCAGGAAATCAGGTCCAAGGGATGCAGGCAAGCACTGGAACACCCAGATGGAGCAGGATTAAAGGCCCTGGACTCATGAGCAGGAGTGTGGGGGTTGAGGCTCCCAGGTGAGGCTGGTAAGGCCCACTAAGACTTATTGTATTCAGGGTCGTTATTATCCATTGTCAGGCTTGCATTGAAACAGACTAAAATAATTACAGAGGCTGTGCCTTACTGAACTTTTGTTCAAATTCCTCATTACAAATGCAGTCATCACAGCAATGAAGAGTCATGTAAATTTTCTTGTACTTTTAATCTCCGTCTCTACAACTGATCAGAAACAGGAGCCAGACAATATTAGTGCTCCCTTTGCCACAGTAATATATGAGCTGTTCCTTAACTGCAACAGCAATTATGTTTTTAACAAAAATATCAAGCATTCAAGCTGTATTGCTAGGGTATTTTAAACTAGTATTTCTTCTAGATCCAGTAGTCATAACAATAATGAGAGCAATGTCCTGGAGAATCAGAATTACATGAATTTTGCCACTTTATTGACCTAAACATGAATAGCAAGCTTTGTGAAAAACCACAGTGCCTTGTCCACATCAGTACTAGTTAGCCATAGGAGACACAATAACTTCCAGTGTGGACTGAGAGAATGGGTCAGCAAGTAAGATCAAGCAATAGCACTAGCATACCATGTAAAAATAGCTTTAGTAGTACTGAAACTAATCTGTTCAGTGGAATCGATCAGAAAACATCATCAGGAAACAAGCTGGTATCCACAAAGAGATTAAATTAAGAACAGAAGCTGTTAGCATGTATCTGATGGCAGCATGTACTTTTTTGTTATTTGAAATTGGCGCTCATGTTTACTTTTTCAGGATCAGTTGTTTTTTTTCTTTAGACTCCAAGGTAAAATGGTAAAAGTACTGGAAGTTCTTGCTACTTTCAGATCTTGTATATAAGCTTATCCTAAACTTTCATGCTTTTCTGATCTTGTTATTGTGTCTTTTAACTAAGCTTGGATTTGCATAAAAGTTACAAACAGAAGTTTAAAAGCTCTGAGGTGGAACACAATAAAGAACAATTTCCAGCACCAGAGATGAAGAAATACTGTATTCTGAGTGGGCCCTTGAAAAGAGAAGTGAATATATAAACTCTGACATGACTGTGTGTTTTTTGACTACTAACCTTGTGCTTTTCCTTTTGAGGCAGATGACACATCATGCTGTATCACCTAAAAGTAAGGCAGTCTAGCATCTGCCAAAGGCCGTTTTGGTAGTGCTTGCCACCTAGTGGATTACTGCTTATATACACATATGAGCAGGATCATCTGCCACAAAAATAAACCATCACACTATTAATCAGATTAATATTTGGTTACATCCTGCAGAATTTGAGTACTACTTAATGGATTTTTAAATTTTGTTGGAATTAAAAGCCTGTGAAAATTGAACTACAAATTGCAAACATTTTCAAAACTTTTATATGACAACTGTATTTGCAACTGTGACATGACTTGGTGACCAGAAAAATATGAAATTTGAGAGCCAGTAGTAAGTGTAAGTGAGTAGTCAGTGTAAGTGGCCATGGACTCAGCTGTAAACTCAAGCCCCATGCTAACATTTGTTGGCTGAGGCTCTGATGAGTGCATTTGGTGAACATAACTGAGCTTGTTGAAATCTATACCCATTGTTTCTGCTTCTTCTGTAAGAGTTTGCTGGGGCCCTGTCATTTTTTTAGGTTTCTGGTTTGTATATAATAGTAACTCAACGTTACCTCTTCTCTTCTCTTAGCTGAATTGCCTGGGATAGTTGTTATCCATTTTGTTGACCTGGACTTGAATTTCTACCTGACTAATAGTTTACCCCTCATTACTGCCCACAAGTCTTACAGAGATCACAAGTGTTGCTCATACCATAACACAATGCAAAGATCTGTATTGTAAGTTACAAGGGTTCCATCGACTACTTAAAAAAACCCAGTTTTTCCACACAAATGACTCCTGTAAAAATTTGAGTCCCCTCTTTCAATTTTAAATGCAATTGAGCTTTTACTGAATTTTTTATTAATCACCATACTTTAAAAACATGGACTATTTAACCAGAATTTTCCCCAACACATCCAGCCTACAGGCAACAGTTAAGGGAAGTTCTCAGCAACAGGGAATTGTCAGGTTTGAATACAACAGGTTTTCTGCGACGTTGATGTTTGTAATAGTATTTTTTATTATTCCATGATGATGAAAATGTTGGAAAATTTTAGCCAACAGCTTATGGTACTCACAAATAATTTATGCTCTACACTTTCAGGATAATTTCCAATTAAACTTATTAAATTCAAGAATACCTTAATTCTTAGTTGTTACCAATACGTTCATACAGATGATTTTACTTTTATAGCATTTTATGATCACTAACCTATTTATGACTAACTTGATATGCGGATGTTGAATTGGGTAAGATTCCATGGGGTCTGTGCTTAGTGTGGCTGTTACTTATCTGAGGGTATTTCAGTCTTACAGTGCATAATGCATACCATTATGTATCAGAATTCTTGATCTTCCCATATTTGCGATGGCATTCTCATGATAAGATAGTTTTGGTTTGTTTTTTACCCCCCTTCTAACTGCTGTGAGGAACTTCTGTTATGATCAGAAGATGAAATATGAATTGTTTATACAGTGATTTTTTTCACTTTCCGTTAAATACTATGTTCCTAAGACTACAGAGTACATAAATTTCTTTATAAAGATCATCATAAATAGTTGAAATTAAGACATGTGTAAGAAACTTTGTACAACTCTCCTCCTGTTTTTAAAAAGTAATTTACAAATAATTTGATCTTTATCCAAATTTAGAAAGTTATATGACCATAATAAAAATCTGTACTCAGTACTCAATATAGTACCATAATAAAAATCTGTACTCTGTACTCAATACAGTACCACAATAAAAATCTGTACTCAGTAGTATCACAAGCTCAAAAAAATCACTTTTATTAGTACATAAAAAAAAAAGAATAACAAAAAGAGACATTATAATTAAATATTTGCTCTCATCTACAAATAAGCACTTTGGATAATAAAATAAATTTTTAGGTTCTTGTGAACAGTTAGAAACAGAGGAAGGAATTTTCTGAAATAAAAGCAATAGAAAGAGACTTCTGAAATAGAAAATATTTGGCAATATCTCTTAGTCACTCAATAAAATATCCATGTAAACAAGTAATACATATTTACATTATCATATGCAATATTCTTGGTTACATGTAGTAAGAAGTACACATGTAATTACATTCAATTTTAGAATCTAATTTGCACCATCATTTCTCAGTTCCTTAATGTTGGAAAAAACACTCTTCTGCTTCTGTGCATAGTACTGCATGACAGCATGTAAATATAGTATTTTTTTCCCAGGCATCTTAAGATAGCACTTGTTTGTTAGGTTTTGTAACTTCCTGGTTTTTATAGGAATCCAAACCTGGAATGTAAGCCCTACAGTCATGTTCCCGTAAAAACAACAATGTATATGATTTCCAAAGATGCCTAAAAATACCCATGAAAAAGCTAGAGTTCTACCTTCCATTTGTATCTCTGAAAATATACTTTTTTCATTTCCTATGTTACTGCTGTATTTATGTTACTCATAAATACAGGTAAGAAAATTTGCATAAAAGGAAAGTTGATGGAAGGCTACTTTGAGGAGCATGTTTTGACTCTACAAATACCTATTAATTTTTATTTAGCATTGAACTTACCTCTTTTTTTTTTTTTTGCAAGGATACATAGAGGCCTTTTTAATCAATTTAAAATTAAGCCAAAAGTCTATAGTATGTTTTATCAGTTTTAAATTGCACACACCAAGGTCGATCAAGGTTTAGGAGATCACAGCTACTGTATCTTATGGGGACCTTCCAAAGATCAGAAGCCAGAATCCCACAGTTCATGCACGTGAGATATCAATTAGCACTGATTAACAATTCCCCAGACGGAATCTTCCAGCTTCCGCTGAGTTTCTACTATCATGTTTCACCTCTAAGTTGAAAACCAAAATTATGTTCTGGGAGGCTCCCCTCAAAAGGTTGCTAATCCTTGATTTTCAGTTAGTTTTACGTCATGGAATCACAGAATGGTCAGAATTGGAAGGGACCCAAAAGGATCATCGAGTCCAGCCCTTAAGCAAATGGCCCATATGGTGTTTGAAGCCACAACCTTGGTGTTACTTGTACCTTGCACTTAATGAGAATAGAGAAGAAAAGAAATGCCACCATTCTTTTTTCAAGTAGCACTCCCCTTGAACAGTACATGGAATTCAACGGAAACCAGAAGGAATGCTGGTTATTTAACAGCATATAGAACCAACCACCTAAAAGCTGTTTATTTCAATACATTCAACTCAGTGCTGTAACAAAAGAAGTCAGAGGTTCTGTGTTTTTTCCGGTATGCTGTTCAGTTACTTTCTTCCAGAACAATCCCTAGGCAACTGACTACCTTCCATACAAACATAAGCTTTTATTATGTGACCTATGCAAGGATTGAGTGAGCTCATTTTCACAGGTGGATAAGACACAGTAACAGGCCAATACATAACAATTTAAAATGTTGTTGCTTGTGTGAGTGCAGTATAGAAAGCTGCATAGTAAATTACTGCAAGTGAGCTCATTTATTCACTTCCTCTGTCATGCTTCACTGTTTGATTCATTGCACATAGTGGGACTGGAGAAGTGCTCACACATTAGATTAGCAGTTTAGGTTAGTGTTCCTTCTGTCATACCTGAATTGTACATTAAAAGCAGGTATTTTCTGCAGTGGAAAAATACACTAATGTGAGGATGGTCCCAGTCACCCACAAAACTATAAGTGAAACTATAGAACTCTGGGATGTAGTCCTTGAGTACCAAATGGTACAGCAATAAAGTTTTTAAAATATTGTATTATGCTAGCTTTCTACACTGCATTTGCCAAAAATCAAATAACAAGAACTGAGGTACTTCTTGTCAGAGAAGACCCAAAATAACTCATGTCCAAAATAGTTTGTACAAACACACAGTGAACTACCAAAATGGCGCATTTGTTGAAGGGTAATGTATTCAAATGTTTTTAAAAGCTGAAGTAGATACAAATTTATGTAGTATTTAAAAAGTAGGAAATTATTTGCTGTCTGAAACTATCTATATTCCAACATGAACAGTGGTTAATTTGTATTTGTAGTGGGCTCTGCAGCTTTTACAAGAGATAATAGAATGGCTCATCATTTTGGACATGTGCAGTCCAAATAATCTACTATAATTATTCTTCCATAATAGTAAAAGTATAAATATTGTCTGTATCTGTGAAATTAATGAATGAGCATAATACATTAATACTTCAATTACTAGAAAGAACTATAAAAGTAAAGTGCCAGTAGGGACTCTTCATTATTTAGAGAAAATTGCATTATTTGAAACAATAATTTCAAATTAAAAGATCATAGAGTTTGTATAGATTGCTTACATACTAAAGCATGTCTTCATGCCTATGATAATAATGCTTTTGATGTCAGTGTGGAGATACTCAAATTGGCTTTCAGTTAAAGGTAACATTTGAATAAAAGAGCAAAGCTCACCTATGTGTTAGAGAAAGTGTTTCTCACTTGAAGCTATTTTTTTTCTGTGAGACTGATAGCAGATTTTTTCTGGTTTCTAACCTCCTAAATTCTAGTCTAGTACCCTAAATCGACAGAACTGTGCAATCAATAAAGATACTAAAATGCTGCCTTCTGGGATAAAAGGAAGACTTAGTTTTAGTGATACATTTTTCTAAGTGTGTTTCTATAGGTTTTCAAATAAGACAAATTCTGCATTTGGATGTCTTAACATTTCTTAGATTACACTAATAAGTGCACATAATTCAAAGCCAAAAATTGTCTGTATGCAATGTATTTGGTAGAATCTGTTGAAAGGCCAACAGATACATTCTGATTTTTAGAAAACAAGACCAAAAACTCACAGAAGTTTCTAAAGGAAATATAACCTTTTATATCTAGCAAACTTTTCTCTTTTTTTAAAATTAAAAATTTTAGAATAAACATTTTTATGAAGCAACTGTGTAAAGTGCGGAATTACTTCGAATCCCATCGAATATAGCAGCCAGTGAGGGGGTTAATCAGCTAGAGAAATCAGAGCTTTAACAAAGTGAACATTACCAGGAAATTTAGGTGTGACAAACTAAATTTTCTGTATGGCATACTTTGTGGCTGATTCATAACCTGCAAAAGCACTCAAGAGCAACATTTAGTCTGAATCTTGTTAAATTTTTCATGACTATAAGAGATGTAAGCATTAAATTAAGAAGTGATATGTAAGAGAGTTTCCAATTATGTGATTTTCCCATTATATGATGCTCTTGTTTTTTAAACAAGGCATAGACTAGTCATGGACCAATAAAATATGTTTGGGACTTCCAGGAGTTTAAATCCATATGCAGAAAACTTGAATATGTTTCAGCAAGCCATACTAAAAATGAACCCACAACCTACTTACATATTGATATAACTACATTAGAAGGACCCTCACCTGGGAGAAATTGGAAGTATAATAGTACTTTTATTCTGTGCATTTTCTTTACATAGTTGATCTTTGTCCTGCTTCATCAAATTTGATGTTTTGTTTTCTGGCTTCTTCAGTATTGCTCCTCAGATCAGCTTTATCTGCGTTACTACTGTTTGTCATTGTGGATTCTACTTCTGTGCCTTCAGGATTTGCTCCAATGGGGCTCAGAATTTTAGCATTCTCTTCTGGGGGCCGCTTCCAGTAGGGCCTGCTTGCCATCCACAAAATAAGTGAACCAAATATGACAAGCAAAAGACCAAGACAGTTGACCAAAGTTGCTTCTGGTGGGGATTCACTGTATGAAGGACTGCTCCTTTGAAAGGGGAAAAAGAAAGAAGAGGTCAGAAAAGATTGTTTTAAAGACAATCCTGGTCTAAAACCAGCAGTCTCCTGCTAGTTTGGTCTTTTTAATACAAACAAAACAAAACAGTATCCCAGTACTGGATGCTTATTATTCTGGGCAAATGGAAGTATATTTGCAATGAATAACCTTAATAAAGAAGTGGAAGCAAATACTTACAATCCAAATATAAGTTTTTCTGTGATTCCCATGAGAGATGTGGCAATCACTGTTGCAAAGATGGTAAGACCTGAATAAGCATGTATTGGCATGACAGCTGCACGGAGATGAGCTGGGGCAAACGGGAGCAGAAAGACGGCGAAACCACAGAACAGCTACAACCAAAACAGATTCATAGTTAGGGCTAGATGGAAAACAAGCTGCACTTCTCAAGCAGAACAAAAATAATCATAAAATTCCATTCTGAGATGTCTTCAGGTAAAAATTTGAAAGTAATTGGTATTTCTATTTTTGAATGTGTTTCCTGTCAGAACCAAAGGAAAATCTGTATTAGCACTTGGAAAACAGACATTAAATATTTTATAAATCATCCTACATAATATCAGTGTCCAAACTTACTCATAGTGCTGAAACTCCAACCAAACTAAGTACTGAAAACACAAGTTTTCAGTGTCACTTATTCACTGATATAGTAAAGGTGTGAGGAGCCACATTTTTACAGGCTCATCAAGTCCTGTTCTCTGCTCCTGTTGCAGATTTGCACATAAAGGAACATCAGAAGGCAGTCTAACCTTCTGACTTGAGTAGATTAAATAGTTTCATCTTGTTAGAATTTCAGTTACATTCAAGTGCCTATCTTTAGAAGGAGAATGGTCTTTCAATATATTGATCACATGGCATTTACAGAGTGAAGACATGTATGGGTGGCATCAAGTTATTCAGGGGACATTAGTCCTCCTGTTAGCACTAATTCTGTGATGGCAAATAACCCATCATGTCCCATGGTTGCATCCACAGGCTTGCCCAGTCATGCTGAGGTTGCAGCCCCTCTTTAGTTTGTTTTACTATTACTCACCCCTGCTGCTAAATTAGACACAGTGCATGAATTTGTATTTCATCCTGCTTTACCTCAGTCCTTGTTTTATCTTTTCATAATGGATTAGAGAGCCTGATATTTTCTCCCTGGGAAGCTTTTTAATACACCATAATCAAATCATCTCTTAATCTTAGATCTGCTAAACAGCTGGAGTTTTTAAAGTCTTGCAATGGAAAATAGCTTTTCCAGCCCTCAAATTACTTTTCCAGAATTTCTTTGGGTTTGTTGCTTTTATTTTTCTGATAATTTTTTAAAATTAAAAAAATCCATAATATTTCATATTAGTTTTGCTAACGCCATCTTGTTTCCTGTTGTCACAGCATTGTGAGAACTCATTTAGAGCTTCATGTCCTTTTTGAGTTCTTCTTTCTAGAGACATCATTTTCCAAGAGACAGTCTCATTTTACATTTTTGCCCCATTCATAAATTTATGTCAGTGTGCTATACTGTATTAACTTGCATTTGGCCTAATTACAATATAGTTACAATCTGGCAGGCAGAGTATTATGCTCACATAGGACTGACATGCCCCTTCTGGTAAGTGCCAAGGGTCTTCTCTGTTAACAAAGATACTTACTGCTTTATGACTATTCTTTATAGTGTTCAGTCACTTAACAAACATCAGTCTCTGACTGGAGACTTACATCCCAGATTGGAAAAAGGAACACCAAGGATCTTTTGATGTGACAGGCAAGGCATTAAGTACCATTGATCATGTTTATAGTAGCAAAATGAAAAGTAGAAGTAATATTTTAGTCACAATTCTTCATTTAATCATTAGAAAAAATACTGATACTCAGTGTAGTGGCAGCACAGACTTCCTTGAAATAACTACAGTATTAGGACAAACTTAATTTAACATTGTTTTTTCTTATTCATTCATATTAATACTTATTACTTTGTTCAGCTGTAGAGAATATACTCAACAACACTGCAATATGTTTTCTTTTTTTTCCTAAATGTTAAAAATACTATTTCAACACTATTTCCTGTACCTCTTGGCCTGAGCAATGAAGAATAAAGTCCAGAACCCAAATCCCTTAGCTGAGGCTTTTTTGTGCTTGATCATAGATAATTAAGTCTTTTTTTCTTTTTAGTGTTTTCAGTGAAAAAATATTTGAAGGAACAAAATAAATTTCCATACTGTTATAACACAGTATAGGGAGTTCAGCATGTATATGCAGAAGCATCTGTATGTGTTCTGTACATTTCAGGGCATGGTTGCTCTTCTTTGCCAAATGCAAAACACATTAAGTTAGCTCATTTTACATTACAATAATGCTAATTCTCTGCCAAGAGGAGCAGTTAAAAGCACGCCACAAACATCTATCAAAGTTCTGCTGATTCAGGCACTAGTAGCTCATTCAGGTGTCAGATCCTTTACATCTCTACTGCTCCACGAACATCTATCAAAGTTCTGCTGATTCAGGAAAACTGGTTAGCCACTAGTAGCTCATTCAGGTGTCAGATCCTTTACATCTCTACTGCTCCCTGGTGCACTTGTTCTGCTGATTAACAAAAGTCTTGAGGCTAAGAAGTGACTACTTAAATTTATGATAGCTGAAAAAAAAAAAGCTGTTACTTCATTTGAGACTTCCTTAATAAATGCTCTAACTATATTTAAATATGCTGCCAACAAATCAAGTAACTTACTGTAAGTTCAGGAGTTAATATGGCTTAGAAACACACTACTGTGCAACTGTATTGTAGGTTAATGGCCATTATGCCAGCAAATAAACAAAATAGGCTTAAAAATGCATTTTTCTTCAAAGTTAATGATCGAGTATTTGTATATTTACATGATAATTTGCCAATTCAGAGTGTAAAATGGCTATCCCAGTAGTTAAAATGTACTAGCAAGAGCCTATTGTGCCTGAATTACCTAAAAATTCTTCAAATGTACAACCTGTTTATAAATTAGTTAGATTCTGACCTGGAGAGCATAAAATATAACAGCAGTCAGCCCAATCCAGCTGTGCAGACTGTACATGTTAGGAATGTTCCGGGCATTGTGATAATCAAACGCAGCTACCATAGCAACAATTGCAAGAATCATAGCTATGGTATTTAATCCAGCATGGATGAACTTCATTAGGAGCTTGCTGCACTTCCAGGTCCAGGGCAATCTGTACACAATAATAGCTGAAGAAAGAAGAGAAACAAATTTAGGCCTTATAGAATAATTTCTTTCAGATGTTAATAATTACACATAATTCACAGAGTTACATGGTAAATTACAGCAAAATCCAATCTTAAGTATTCTAAATAGTCTATTAAAAGGTTTTTTTTCATACACTTAGCATAGCATACTCTGAAAATACAACTGAGGCTTAAATATAGCTTTTTAGGGATTTCTTCTCAATTATAAAAAATCCCACAAACTTTAATGTGTTTCAAAAAATACCCCAGTAAACAACTTGGTATCATCTTTTCCTCAGTCATTAAATTGATTTAACAGGGATTTGGCATAGGATTTTGATTTTTCTGTTGCTAGTCACTTGGGAGCAATATAGCCTGATTCTTGTTGAGAAAGCGTGTAGGATTATTTTATAATACTTATTCTCTTTGCAACTTTGGATAATACTATTCTCTAATTGCATAGATATTTGTAAGACTGTCTATTACACTGATACCAATAAGACTACTTTGAATGGGAAAATGCTCTTCAGCATTAGGGAATCATAATTTGACTTTAGAGGCAAAAGCATTTAACAAATACAAGTCTGCCACCACTGTTAGACAAATGTAGGGAAGCTTTGCCTATACTTGAATTAATAACTCTAGCAGACAGTGTTTTTTCCAGTCTGAACAAAACAATAATTTCCATTGCTCTAACTCCAGATGATCCATAAAAATAACTTAACCTAGAGCTGCTTCTTGCCGAGTTTTCTCCAAGATCCCTGCTGCCCCTGTCACAACTGTCCCCTGTCTGTCAAACAATCCAAATGCTTTCCACAGGGGGCACAAATGGGCCAGACTTTATCACTGAAGCTCAAGGTAAATCTGATTACAAATTAGATAGTAAATCTGGATGTGTGACAGCACATAAGTATATTCACCTAACGGGACACAAATTTATGAGGACAACATAATTTGAGCAATAAAGACTAATGCCCCCATCTATAATGTCTTGCCTGAGCAAAGTCTGAACTCCACTCAGTGATTCATCACATCCTAATTTAAGGCTTCTGCTTATGAAATTACAGTGAAAATTTTATATATAATTAGCTATAATACAAAAAGGAATAATAATTTATGTAAGTTTTTTTTAAACTCTGTTCCAAACATTAAGAAATAGGAAAGTATTATCTAAGTGATTATCATGTACCCTACTCATTCATTACTTCTCCATAACCCCTGCATTTTAGGCAAAAACCATAGATTATGGAAAATAAATAGAATATTATCTCTGCATGTTCTGATGAATAGTAGTAATTGACAAATTCTTTTCAAGTTCTGTTCACACTTTTCTCTTAAACTTGGATGCATTTCAATAAATACAGTACTACACTAAATAATTCACAAAGAAAACTGTTTACAAGTCAAATCTCCATACTATGATCAGATTTTAAATCAATGTATGCTTTTACACACTGTGTGAAAATACAATACTGGAATGAAAGCATTCCTTAAATATATACAGCACTTAGGTTGGTTTTGGCTTTCTACTTTAAAAAGCAACAATAGTAAATCCAACAAAATCAGGAAGATAGAAACCTTCTTTGTAAGATGATTTGACTGCCTTAAAGTAATCTATTACAGAAATATGATTCTGCACACCAAGCTTATCACCTCCAACAGTTCCCAAAGTGACTTTACATGATAATGTTAGAATCATAGAATCCTAAATCACTAAGGTTAGATACCTCTAGTTTAATTACGTCTCAGATACCTAAGGTTAATTACCTCTCAGATAACTGAGTTTGACCATTAACCTATCACTGCCACATCTACAATAAACCATGTCCTGAGCACACGTGTGTTTTTTGAGCACTTCCAGGGACGGTGATTCCATCACTTTTCTGGGCAGCTGTTTCAATACCTGACCACCATTTCAGTGAAGAAATTTTTGCGAGTGTCCAATCTTAACCTCCCCTGGTGCAACTGGAGGCCATTTCCTCTTGTTCTCTCACTTGTTACTTGGGAGATGAGATCAATCCCCACTTGCTATAGCCTCCTTTCAGACAATGGTACAGAAAATAAGGTACCCCTGAGCCTCCTTTTCTACAGGCTAAACACCCCCAGCTCCTTCAGCTGCTTCTCTTCAGACTTGGTGCCAGACCCTTCACCAGCTTCACTGCCCTTCTCGGGACCTGTTCCAGCACCGCAGTGTTTGTCTTGTACTAAGGGGCCAAAACCTGGACACAAGATTTGAGGTGCGGCCTCACCAGTAGCAGATACAGGGGGAACAAGCAGTGCCCTGGTCCTGCTGGCCACGCTGTTTCTGATACAGGCCAGGATTCTGTTGGCCTTCTTGGCCACCTGGGCACACACTGGCTCACATTCAGCCAGCTACCAATAATATCCAATAATATTAGACTATTATTAATCAACTTAGTACTGATGAAAATTACTTCTAATTTTGTAAAGCAGATGTTTTAAAAGTCCCCAAAACAAGTTTCAACATCCCATGAGGATATGCCAAATATGTCCCACAATATTGTCAATAATTTATTCATGGTGCAGCAGAGTACTGGACTTTGTATGAAGAAAACTTAATGAGCATAGGTCCTGGTTTCAGTTTTTAAAAAAGTCTTTGATCTCAGAGGGTCAAGTCTGGGCTAAAATTTTTATATAATATTTTTTTGTTGTCATCTAGCTGATTTAACTTCCAAAAGCACTGTCAAACTCCCTAGTCATTTCTCCACATAGTCTCAGATTTCTGTTTGGGCCTTGAATTTTCTAAGTTGTTTCCCATAAACATTACAATAGGAAACCAAGGAATAACCAACTAATGCTTTGGCCAGTTGTTAACAATACCTTCATTACCATGTTACATGCCACAGCCCAGTCTGGGGAACAAAGGGGAGAGAAGGAAGATTCACCTTTCAGTGAGTACAAGCTCTTAAAAACTTACTCAGATGTGATGTGTAATTTCATGTCATAATTAAAACAGCCTAGGTTAAAAACACATACAGAATTATGGTGATGTTTTGGTGATGACATGGTAAAGCAGCCTCATGAAGAGCTTTCTCAAGGCAGAGCATTTCTAGGACTGTTAAGAAATTTGACAGCCTAGACACCCTGGCCTGAGCTTTTTGACTCAGACCTTACTCCTGTTTTGAACTATGATTTTAAAGCACATCACACAGGGCAGAGTTACCCTGCAATATTTTTGTATGGCATGGGACATCTGTCCTTTTACAGATGTACAGGGCAAAATTCTAGAGTTATTGACCAACAAGACAATATTTCCAGCCTTTGTAGAGACTGTTAAACTCAAGAAACAATTAATTTATTTATTATTTAAAATCCTCTACTCAAATTTAACCAAGTTTTTTTTAGCTACACCTTCCTACTTTCAACTACTTAAAGATTTATCTTTCTTGTATGTGTCCAAAGAGGTATCTGATTGCTCACTCTCATCCAAATTGCTTTGAATTCAATGGCAGACTTCCATCAGCCGAATTTGAATCAGATTCACAGTGGTATCTTATCTGTTGTTATTGCATCTGATTTACTACAATACCCCTTCAGTCTCCAGCTTTGCTTTTCCTATTATGTAATAGGACTTCCTAAATTATGCTGTATTATTATTGAATTCCTTGTATGCATGTGGTTTCTTAGCTGTGGTAAACTTCCATTGATTTTACATACATCCTTACCAAAACAGAGCTTGGGGCAACCCCCTTTCTCTGTGTCACAGGGAAAAAACTGAGTTTCAGAGGAAAAAAAAAAGAAAATACATAGGAAAAAGCTGCAGAAAGCCTCTCCCTATTTTCTTCAAAAGTTCTATGCTTATATGATATATAAAAGTTCTATGCTTATAAAATAAAATAGGTTGAGCATATAACATAGTATAGATCTTAGTAGTGAAGTTAACAGGTGGTTTTTATTGCTTATTTATAGCCTGAATGACACTTCCTGTTGAGCAATGTTATGTAAAACAACTTCAAAATATGGTTTATTGCTCAATACTGGTTTGCAGTTTGAAGCCAAAAAGAAGCTGAGAACAGCCCCACTCCCAGTGAAAAACAAAAATTTACAGTGTATGTTCAAATTGCAATGTTCTCTTCATAGCCAGAACAAGGCAGCCTTCAGCATCTTCCAGCCTTTTGACTGGCTGGAAGTGTAATGGGAAAATGTTAGTCCATGGCTGAACTCTATGAAATCCAAAGTTGATTCATTTAAGAGATATGCTTTACAAAACAATTCATCCTAAGTCTAGCCTGAAGAACTGCATTTTTAGTAGTGCTGGTGGTGCTACGTTTTCTGTAGCAAAAACCTTGCTCCTGGATCAAATTCTGTGATACTGAACTTTCTCTTCTTGGGACATGAAAGAGAGCCTAAAGAGAAACACTGCTCCTGGATCAAGTTCTGTGATACTGAACTTTCCTTTCTCTTCTTGGGACATGAAAGAGAGCCTAAAGAGAAACATTCCTAGGGCAACATTTCTGGCATTTCGATTTTCTACTTGCATAAGTTCCAGCTGCCTAGGAAAAACACACCTCGCAGGCGTTACTCAAAGTGCACGGCAATCCCCGGGCCAGGATAAACAAGTGGTTGCCGAAAAAAAACCCCAAAACCACTCAAACCCCGTATGTAGCAATTTTGGCTTATTACAAGGCACTCTTTGTCCCTTCCCGGGCGTGCTGGCTTCCCTAAGCTGCGGACCGATTGCTGCGCTCCCGCTGTGACCCGCTGTGGCCGCGGGCCGGCTCCGCCCGGAGCCTCCCGCAGCCCCGGCCGCGCCACCCCGGCCCCAGGCAGGCCCGGCTCCCCCGCAGCTCCGCGCCGGCCCGGGCCCCCACGCACCGATGCCTTGGATGAAGACGAAGCCCGTGACGATGAGGACGGGGTGCCAGTTGAATTCCGCCGAGCTGCCGTCCCAGCTCAGCCCCTCGCGGTAGTGGAAGACCCAGACGAGGGAGAGGATGACCGACACGAAGCCGACCAGCAGCGCAGACGCCAGCAGCGCCAAGAATCGCCCGTAGCCCTCCATCTTTCGAGCCCCGTGGCGGCAGCGAGCGCGGCGGAGGAGAGGCGAGCCGGCGGCCGGGCGGGGTCGGACTCGTGCGCGGGCTCGGGTCCGGCGGGCACGGCACGGCTCGGGACGGCACGGGACGGGACGGACTCAGCAGGGGCGGGAGCGGGGCGGCACTCCGCGATCCTCCGCGCCCCTGCACCCTGCCCTCTCCGAGCGTCCCGGCGCGTTCAGAACTCCGCCTTAGAAAATAATTTTCTGTGTCAGCCTGTCCCCTGCCATGGTGGCTGTCCGACTGTGCTCCCCACGGCAGGAAGGGAGCGGGTGGTCACGGGTTTTGTGCCGAGAGGCTGTTGTGGAGGTTGGAGAGTTCACGGAAGCACCAGAAAGATAAGCTACCACAGTCAGAAGCACTGACCGATAAAGTAGGAGTGCTGTTATGAAGAAGACACAGCGCACACAGAAAATGCAGAGGAGAAGCGCACTTAAAAACACGGATGTACTTACCTGGAGCACAGTCTTGCCATCATGATCGACCCCTTCTCACTGGATTCATTGAGTGCTCCAAATACACTACACATACTAAGCAGTTTCGTATGTGGAGTCTGGCCTAAGTATGCAGGAGGATGTGGATATTGTTCCGTTGAATAGCACAAATATATCAAATATCCACTAGCAAAGAAAGGGAATGCATAAAACTTAGACAATTGCAATAGGTATGGAAAGACCCATTGTAGGGAAGTTAGAGAGGAAAACAGAAGGAAAAAAACCAGAATTGCAAAAGAAACAATAGACCTGACAAAAATATTACATGATAGATTAGACCAGTTTGTCAAACCATGTAGTCAGCAGTTACCTTTTGTTTTGGTGTAGAACATTCAGCTGGCTCTGAAGCCTGTCAGCTGTGGTAGGAGGATATGCCTAAACATATATTCAGCACTAATTTTCTGGTATTTGATTAGCTTACTTTTAAGGTATATATAGTGTTGAACCACATATGAATTAGAAGTTCATTAACTGATTGAGAGAAAAAAAATACTATGTACTCTGGCTAGCATTTGATCTCTCTGGTATCTCACACTTAAACTGAGGCCTAGAAGATGACAGGAAACGATTTTATGAAACTTAAAATAGTTTCAGTAGAATACTGCCAATTCAAACACTATACTTACTAAAGTGTTGGAAATATCTGCATAGAGACGTGAAGACCAAGCCAGATTGGAGTGGGATGCAAATATCTTTCTTTGTTGTCTTTAATCTCCTAAAAATACACACTGACGTTTTAAAGAAAAGCTTGAGCAACACTCGTATAAAGATATTTAGCTTTAGTTTGCATGGATTTGGTGTGACCTGGCCTCAGGATTTAACTGGTTACTCATTCTACTCACAATGGAAAGTAGAACACTTGTATTGTTAAATTTCATAAATCACAGCACCTAAGAGCAGATCCAAGCCCTAAATCTTCTGCTGAATGCAATCATGAACAATCTTGCCAGGGTGCCAGATTGTCATTAGCTTATGAGGCACACAGGTCATCTTAATAGTATGGTCAGAAAAATTATTGCCTGCTTGGTGCAAATATCAGATTGGTGCAGAATTAGAAGTAATCCATAGCACAGCTACAATGTCTGAGTGGATTTCATGTTTACTTTGGGATGGGAACTCAACACGATACAGTTGACTGCTGAGGGCTGAATGACGCACTTGAAAATCTGTTGGAAAATAACCCCCCACAAAAAAATGAAACTACCCTGTATGGGGCTTTCAAGTCTCCTTGCAAGGATGCAATAAACACCTGGTTTTGTTAATCATTACTGTGGATAGTTCATAATCTCTACTCTTTTCCAGAGCTTCCTAGAGACAATGATATTTTCTGGTACATTGCCAACTGTGTCTGTGTGTATTCCCTCTTAGCAGTTCTGTTGGGACATGATCTAACATGCACTTCTTTCTTTGGGTTGCTGCATTGTCAGATGTAGGATAACTGTGACTTCAGACCTGGAAGAACTTCAAAATAGACAGACAAAAAAAGACCTACAGACAAAGGTTCACAGATTATTTTGAAGAGGTAACCATGGATTCCTGCCAGTGTTACGTGTATGGTACTTGGCAACTGCTGTCATCATTGCTATACCATTCATACATTTTGAGAGCAACAGCCTAAACATAAGTGTACATAAATGCCTATCTAAGCAACACACCATGTCACCACAGGCCGTTATTTTGTGCTTGTGATGTAAATTTTTAATAGTGGAAGTGTTTCTAGTTTCAAGTGACCAATAACTGACTTGTTAGAACTGTACTAGAATAAGATTAGAGTCTCTTTTATCAGCTACAACTTTGTATCTTTTTCCATGCTGGACAAGTCATTTAAGATCTAAGCCTTAGACCTGCATATTCCAGAAAAATTACAGTATCCCTTAAAGCATTTGGGTGAGTTTTTCAGAAACCTGGTGGCTGTTCATTTTATAAACAAACAAAAGTACTGAGATTGTCCAGTCAGTTTTGTTCTGGCAGCTAATTTAACTGACTGTTGTGGAAGCTTTAGAAATACCTCTGTAGAAGTAATACTTCTTTGTCTGTATAAGGAGTAATACAGACAAAGAAGTTCAAGTAATTAGTGTTTGAATGGCACAAACAAACCAGGATGACCCTTTTACTCTTTTTGGTACTGAGTTCCATGCCTAAGCAACAGAACCATTTGACCGTTGCTATTGAGAACATCACTAATTTGCCTTTGCAAATTGTGACTGTGAAGCAAGACTCTTCCAATAAATGATTTTGACTTATTCTCTGCCCTAGAAGGAGCTTTTGCTGAGATAAAATAAGACACATAGTGCACCTTTTGTCTAGAATGTTATACTGGTCATAGGCCAGTCATTGTTACTTGTGCAATGAAACTCTTTCAATCTATAAACGTTTTGCTTCTGTGAGTTGTAGGATGTTGTTATAACAATTATTTTGTAGAAGCTTTTTGAAGTTGTGAAACTGTGGGACAATAGTTGGACTTGTCTAAGCAAGATTATAAGGTTTTACTACTTTCATTTATTTGGCTTATGCTTTCTTATTTTCTTCCCTACCACTCACCAGCCTTGCCAGTGAGTCTGTGCTCAAATAACAAGAGAAAGGCAGGATAAGATGTGCACTCTTTTCATGCTCAAAGCAAATCTTATCAAGAGAAGTCACTCCTTCATATATTTTAAATTTCTAGGCTGGGCAGTTCCACCTGGGTCTCTAAACATCTATATTTATCAAATACAAATAAAGGGCTAGCATTTTTGGGATCCCATTTTTGCTTCTCTGTCCTCTCTCCAGTCATTGAGATGTCACAGTGAAGTGGAAAATCAAAAGTGATTTTTTTGAAGTAGAAATGCTGGAAGTATGCTGCTTTGGTCCACAAACCAAAATGTTCCTAAGACAGCCAAAATCAAGCCAGCTTTCAGGCAGTACAAAGAATAGGCAGTGGCATTACAAAGGGCTAAAATAGGAAGAGCATGGTGTTAACATCCAGGAGTTTCTTACATTTCCATTGTCCCAGAGCATGGAAATGTGTACAGCCATGCTGCAAATTCCATGTTAGAGGTGAGCAACATCTGAAGTTGAGGCTAACTGCAGATACAGAAGATAATAGGGAAAATTGCCAATGTATGAGTCTGAATATGGAACATCCAAGTAAACACGTTAACAGAATCATTTTACTGCCTGTCTTCTGGCAAGCAGCTGTTACTGGGGACTGTCTGGAGAGCCTGCAAGCCTATCATGTGGAATGCATTGCTTTTCCTGCAGCATCTTAAGTAAGCCAGATTTCTTGAGTCACTTTGTGGAGTAATTCCAGTGAATTTTAGCTTTCCCTACCATGTTTCCTTTTTTCTTCCTGAGAAGAATGTGCCCTTACTCCTCCCTAAAAATATTATGTTCTCAACAACACTATTGCTTTTCCACTCAGGCAAGAATACAGCATTTGTACTCCCAGTTTACTAAATGAGTTACTAAGCTACACCAAGTGGTTCTTAGCAATCACATTATTGTAACGCTTCACTCTGCTAGGATACCTAGTTCCTTTTATTAAAAAAATCACTCCCAAAAAAAAGCAATCTATTTTTTCAGTTGTTAATCTTTTATTAGCCAAATCAACCACTTTGACTACTTTATTAAATCTATAAATATTTGAATACACTGACATAAAATTATTTTCTATATTATTTCTAAATCTTTCTATATATAATAACCTGAAGATTTTGGTCATTGTTTTGTAATTTCAGTAAAGGAGAAATAAATACCATAGTTGTAGAAATGCCAAGTCTAGCAACCAGAGAACTTCAAGTGATCCTCTCTGAATTGTTGATACAAGTCAGTTATTATTGGTGAGGCATTGCTACAGACATATGAGACAAAGTCCAGAAAAAACAAGCTCTCTAAAGGTTTTGCAGTGTACTAATACTTGTCAGTTAGAAAATAACTCAGTTCCTGTTCTATATATTCTTTTGTGGTTCAGTCTTAGAAAACCAGTTTTACTACTTACCCTTTTTTGCACTTACCATTTAGGATTTGCTCATTCTGGCAACAGCAGAAAGTTTGTTTCAAACAACCTCTGGTGAAATCCAACATGAATTCACTAGTCCATGGCCTTTTTAAGTACTAGACCAACATTTTGCTTTTTGTAGGCAGAGTGCTCAGAGACCATGTTTTAAGCAGCAAACAGCAGTTCCTCACAACTGTTCTTTCAGAAAGGACTCGGCTTACATGCCACCCTACACAGGTGTCCTTTCTAGCACGTATTCCTTTAAACAACCTTTATTATAACTGGGAACCAAATTAATTTATTAGCTGTTCCATCTTGTGGGATAGCTGTTACAGTTCCATAAGGAAAAAAATTCTTGCTGTTAAGTTTTTGGCAATCTTCAGTTACTGTTAAATAATATGAAAAGTCTTTTTCTCAATAACAAGAGGAAAAAAAAAGACAAAATGAGAATAAAATGAGCAAGAAACTGTGCTGTTAAAGTAATTGAACATAAGAAAGAAATATTTTTCCACACTGAAAATGCAGAAAGTTTGGATGAAGTTACTTAATTGTGAATGTTGGCAAAATTGGCTAAGATCCCTTCAACTCTATGTGTGAAATACACATTTGAGAGTCTTTCCTCACATTAAGAGTTCACTTGTATATTTACATCTCTCTACATATGTATATATGATCTTTTTCCCTTGGGCATCTAATGCTAGTGAAAATAATGGAAGCATAGGCCATAAGCCTTTCAGGTTTGATCTTTTAAAGGAGGCACTTGAAACTGCATTTGATGTAATTAATTGAGGCTTTATCTGCATACTTTGGAAACCATGGCATGAGTGCTAAGCACCCCCTGAAAATCACAGGAAACGAATACTCAGTTTCATGCTAACAGTTCCTTAGTCTGATTTTTGTAAAAAAAAAACCTCTCAGTAAATGGGTTTCCTGATCATAAAGGAGTTAGGTACTGCTGAAAAATCACAGGAAACAAATACTCACAATTTCATGCTAACTGTTCCTTAGTATGATTTTTGTATAATAAAAACCTCTCAGTAAATGGGTTTCCTGATCATAAAGGAGTTAGGTACTGCCTATGAGAAGTAAAGAAAATTTTTGTCTTCTCTTACTCTAATTAATCTAATGCATTAATTCACATTTAATATCAATTTGACACTACACAACAGTATAACCCTGCCAGCAACAGTGACTAAAAGATGTTTGCATATGAAATCTCTTGGCAAAGTAAAATACTAGCTTTTTTCCTGAATTTTGTTTAGAAATTTAACTTGAAGTAAAAGCAGTCAATTCAGGTAAGCTGCCACCAAGCATGCAAGTATTTGTATTTGGTATAGATACAGTCACTTTAAACAATTTAAAAACCACTGGTTTGTGGTCAGCAATTTCCTCCCATTTAAGCACAAGTTTATTTTTAGAATTTTCTGGGTCCCTGCATAAGTACAGAAGGTAACTCACAGCTTGAAAAGCACATACCATGAGCATTTCATGATTCCACTTTAGTGTGTTCCAGACTGTAAGGAGGATGCCAAGACACAGAAGTGTTCAGGGATACTTTTTTGTGATTCTCTGTTCTCAAATAGCTTTCAAGGTGTTTTAGAGTAAATAGAAACCTCTTCTGTTTCTGAATGAAAAACCTCTATGTGGGACTTGCCAGATGGAATTCTGCCATTATCTGTAGTGCGGCAACACATTTAGAGTGACAGAATTTCTTACACAAGACCCAACCTTCATCAAATTCTGGGTTGCTTTTGGTCATTACAAATGGCTACATTAAAAAAAAACCAAAAAAACAAAAACAAAACCAAAAAAACCTGATGTACATTTATAGCTGACTGCCACTTTGTAAGTCTGCCAGAGCTTGAAAGTTAGCCTTGTCTTCATGACTCTTCATATGAACAGTACCTGCAGTATTTAATAAATGAAATTTCAGTCTTTCACTGGGAGGAACTGCTTCAAAAAGCCAAACAGCAATAAGCGTAAAATTTAGGTATCTGCTTAAAAGTTGTGTCTTCTGTTTTAAGAGTACAGCTTCATATATTACTGATATAGTTACTTATAAAATAGCAGGTAACGGCCAGGTGTTCTTTCCCAGACTCAAAGTGAAAAGTTATGGAACATAGGGTGGAAGTTGGGTGTTGCTGCTGCCCTTTATTTCTACTGTTGTTTCATTATCTTGTTAAATGTCCTTTTTGTGTTGGTTTTTTTTCTTTCTATAATTGTAATTCACTTTTTATTTTGCATTACATTTTCTTTAAAAACTCACAACAGAAAATTTTTATAATTTTTCTAGAGCTCTTCTCTATTGCATCATCTAGAATGATCCAACTTAATTAGTAAAGGCCAGAGCAAAAATAAATATTTGCATTTTGAGTTACCATGCTTATGATGGCAGTGATGATAATGAGTTCTGCTTTAATGTGCTATGCTCCTGAGCCCATCACCATGAGGTCTACAGCCTGTGTTTTGTTCTTGTGGGTGTTTTTAAATTTAAAATGAAAGCTTTCATTCTGCAGATTCTGAATATATCACACAGAACTCCAATGTATCAGACAGGCTGCAGACAGTAATAAGAGTGGACAGCTGGGAGCTTTGGCTGAGACTGAACAACTCCTGAACCTTATCAGGGTCAGGCAGAGAATTGCTTGGATATACATATATATGTAAACACATATAAAATGTATTAAAAATCAGTAAAATACATAATTTATTAATATTTCTCTTTAAACCAAAACATACACAGCCAGAAAACCTGAGTGATTTTATTTCTCACACAAAACCAAGAGAAGGATTTTGTCTAAGTGGTTTAATGGTAACACTACAATTTTCATACTACATACAAAATTTATCCTAGATAGTTTTACATACTTTGATTAATTAACAGTTTGTATTAGAGATGCCTTAAGTTTTAGCTTCCATATTTTCCAGATTCTGTACTGCACTATTATATAACTCCGAACTTCATACAAAGTGTTAGCAAGTTCTCTTCACAGTTTCATTAGACAAAACAATCCTTTTTCCAGCCTGAGAACCAGGGACACTGTTGCAGCTTCAGGCCCAAAAAGTATAAACAACAGTGAACCGAGGAGAGCAATCTGAGAGGATGGGACTTCATAACCTGAAGCTGTAATTGACAATTAACCCCAGTATGTAAATGAACCAAAATTTAGAAAAGTGTGAAAATGTGTGACCTGTCATCCATCTTGGGTGGAGCCACATCCAGGCTCCAAGGTACTGCCCAAGGTGTATCCTTTGAAGGCCTTTTTCTAAATACCTACTTGATTCCTTTTACACTGTCTAGCCTCTGTTTTAGGTAGCCTCTTAAGGCATCATCAGCATTGCATAGGTAAAACTATGTAAGACAGATCATGGCAGATAGT